CTTTATATGATGCACTACTTATGTTTTTCTATTCTTGCAAATTAACTACAACAATCAGCATAAGTGAAAGCTGCATTATTCACTTTATGTGATGCACTTACTTATGTTTTTCTATTCTTGCAAATTAACTACAACAATCAGCATAAGTGAAACTGCATTATTCACTTCATGTGATGCGAGTACTTACGTTTTTCTAATACATTTTTTCCAAGGTATTTATCCACTTACTTATGCAGTACGTATGATACGGACCACCAAATAATTGTATAAGTAAACCCAATAATTATGAAATTTCTTTTCACTAAGATCCAACAGATAATTAAAACAAATTACAAATGGTTAACCTGAGGGCGTACAGTCTCAAAAAGTTCCCAAATTGGTCTATCAAGCACCACCAAATCCGCAGTAAGAGGGATCGAAGAACCTATCTACTTCACAAATCCACCTACAACAAACGACAAAGAAATTCTGTCAAAATTATCTCTCCTATATTATTCACAATGCAAGAGAATAACAGTATATACATTCAAACAAGCCAAACCTTGGTTGAGGGTGTCAGAGGCTGCGGAGGAGGTTAAGAATAGAGGTGTGGCGCGGTGGCTCACAGGGTGGCGTCCGGTTGACGAGGAGCTTTGGTGGAGGTTGGATTAGGGTGAGGGCTGACTTGGGGGGAGCAGTGAGGGGGCTAGGGCTCGCTGGGAGTGAGGAGGAGATACTGGCCAAGGTTAAGAGGAATGGGTGAGTGAGGCGCGAGAGTTAGGGTTATTTGGGGATAAGTGGCGCGAGATATGAAAGTGAAAAATGTGGTAGTATATGATAGCGGTTAAATCTTAACCGCTATTATAATATCACTTCTAATAGCGGTTACATCTTAACCGCTATTATATATTTTCAAATATGATCGATCATTTGAAAATGTAATCGATCATAATCAAAAAATGTGGATGTCGCTCGAGCGAGATCAGTGTCACTCAAGCGAAAAACAACCCGAGAATGCCAATTTTGTGCAGGTGGCGTCGCTCGAGCGAGACCATGTCACTCAAGCGAAATACAACCCGAGAATGCCAATTTTGTGCAGGTGGCGTTGCTCAAGTGATGTTATTTTCGCTTGAGAGAATGTTGACCTGCTAACCGTCGATCAAAGTTAGCCGGATAATGTAACATGGGTGACCTCATGTTTGAATCGGATGTCGCTCGAGCGAGTGTATTGTCGCTCAAGCGAAATACAACCCGAGACTTCACAATCTTAAAATCTGGTTGTATATGATAGCGGTTCCACTGGAACCGCTATTAAAAGGGTACTTCTAATAGCGATTAACCCTTAACCGCTATCTAAAATATACTTTAGATAGCGGTTAACATGAAACCGCTATTATATCTTCTCAATTATGATCGATCATTTCTAATTATAATCGATCATAATGAAAACTTATATTAACTATTTTTTTGAATATTATGTTTTTAAATTTTCTATTAGAGAAAACCTTTCAGAATTCAAAATGTTAAATACTTTTAAATATTAAAATTAACTTTATCAAAAATTAGGAAAAAAAATTAATCCAAAAGAGTTCAAAAATGTATTATAATATTGTCAATTTTGAATTTAATTATATTGTTCATTCTCAAAGTAGAAAAATATATTGTAATTATTTTAATTTAATAAAATATAATTTAAATTTTTAATACTAAAATTAAAAGATTAAATAATAATAAATTTAATTCTTTAAATTCAGTAGTTAGAAACTAAAATTATAGTTTCTCTGTTTTAAATAATTAAAATAAATATTTAAAAATAAAAATCAAAACTAGTATTATCTTAAATTTATTAAAAGTGTAATTAAATCTCTATTTTCTTAATTTTATTTGTTTCAAACTTCTCAATTCTACATTTTTGTAAGTTCTATCATTATATTATCATCCTCATCTCCTTCCATGTTCTATTTTATCTTTACAATAGTCAATATTCTTAAATAATTTATATTTTTAATTATAATTTTTTAGTATATATTTAAAAAATTAATCAATTCTAATCTATTATTTGAAAAACTAATCAATAATTTAGAAAACTAATCGATTATAATTAATTATTTGAAAAAATTATCAAATATGATCGATCATTTCGAAAATCTAATCGATCAGAATAAAAAAATCTGGTTGTATATGGAACCGCTATTAAAAGAGCACCTCTAATAGTAGTTAACCCTTATAACCGCTATCTAAAATATACTTTAGATAGCAGTTTAGATAGCGGTTAACGTGGAACCGCTATTATATCTTCTCAATTATGATCGATCATTTCTAATTATAATCGATCATAATGAAAACTTACATTAACTATTTTTTTGAATATTATGTTTTTAAATTTTCTATTAGAGAAAACCTTTCGGAATTCAAAATGTTAAATACTTTTAAATATTAAAATTAACTTTATCAAAAATTAGGAAAAAAAATTAATCCAAAAGAGTTCAAAAATGTATTATAATATTGTCAATTTTGAGTTTAATTATATTGTTCATTCTCAAAGTAGAAAAATATATTGTAATTATTTTAATTTAATAAAATATAATTTAAATTTTTAATACTAAAATTAAAAGATTAAATAATAATAAATTTAATTCTTTAAATTCAGTAGTTAGAAACTAAAATTATAGTTTCTCTATTTTAAATAATTAAAATAAATATTTAAAAATAAAAATCAAAACTAGTATTATCTTAAATTTATTAAAAGTGTAATTAAATCTCTATTTTCTTAATTTTATTTGTTTCAAACTTCTCAATTCTACATTTTTGTAAGTTCTATCATTATATTATCATCCTCATCTCCTCCCATGTTCTACTTTATCTTTACAATAGTCAATATTCTTAAATAATTTATATTTTTAATTATAATTTTTTAGTATATATTTCAGAAATTAATCAATTCTAATCTATTATTTGAAAAACTAATCAATTCTAATCAATAATTTAGAAAACTAATCGATTATAATTAATTATTTGAAAAAATTATCAAATATGATCGATCATTTCGAAAATCTAATCGATCAGAATCAAAAAATCTGTTGTATATGATAGCGGTTCCACTTGGAACCGCTATTAAAAGGGCACTTCTAATAGCGGTTAACCCTTAACCGCTCAAGCGATGTTACTTTCGCTTGAGCGAATGTTGACCTGCATAAACGTCGATCAAAGTTAGCCGGATAATGTAACCTGGGTGCCTCATGTTTGAATCGGATTTCGCTCGAGCGAGAATAGTGTCGCTCAAGCGAAATGCAACCCGAGAATGCCAATTTTGTGCAGGTGGCGTCGCTCGAGCAATGTTACTTTCGTTTGAGCAAATGTTGACCTGCGTAAACGTCGATCAAAGTTAGCTGGATAATGTAACCTGGGTGCCTCATGTTTGAATCGGATGTCGCTCGAGCGAGAATAGTGTCGCTCAAGCGAAATACAACCCGAGAATGCCAATTTTGTGCAGGTGGCGTCGCTCGAGCGATGTTATTTTCGCTTGAGCGATATTGCAAAAATCAGATATAATCATGGATTATTTTCTCATTAGTGACCGATTTTAATTCGGTCGCTATTTCAATTTGTAATTCGGTCGTTAAATCAGTCGCTAAATGATTTTTTTATTTATGTATGAAATAGCCACCGATTTAGCGACTGAAAATTTGCGACGCACAAAAATTGGTCGCTATTTCAGTCGCTAAATAAAAAAGTGAAAACCAAATCATATTTTGGTCGCTAAATCAGTCGCTAATTGCGACCGAATTAAAGTGGTCGCTAAATCGGTCGCTAATTGCGACGAAATTAAAGTGGTCGCTAAATCGGTCTCTAAATACGACTAAAATTAAATCAGTCGCTAATTTTGGTGGCTAAATGTGTTTTTTCTTGTAGTGTAATAACGTGATTAAGATCCCCAAAAACAATCACGGATTCAATTTAAACATATATCAATGACATAGAACACTAACCTCGAGTATAGACGAAAATGATTTCAAACTCGAATCCAATCGGGGAGAAATATCAAGTTCGTAAAATGAGACACAATGTTGATGTTTTTCACTGTCAAAATAATCGAAAATGGTGTGCAGAGGTAGTTGTCGTCATCGTTCTAAAAAACTCTTTTTGCGCGAGAAGAGGGAGTGGGTCTGAAAATGAATAAAAGGCATTTTTTTACGTCGCGCACCCCAGTATGTGACGTAAAAAGCACTCTTTTACGTCGTACCTGGGTGACGCGACGTAAAAGAAGGCTTTTTACGTCACCTCCTAAGATGTGCGACGTAAAAGTTTTGTTTCTTATTCACAAAATTGTCACCACATTTTAGTTACGTCGAATATTTTTACATGCGACGACAATTGGATGACGTAGAAGCCCGTTTTTCACTAGTGCATATTCCAAATAAGATCACTCATTTTAACATTTGATTCATATATATATATATATATATATATATATATATATATATATATATATATATATATATATATATATATAACTTTACATAGAATAATATTATTTTAATAAAATTGTAACTTGTATCTTAGTCTATTTATATAAAAACCTATATGATTGGGAAATGATATTGAAAGAGCACTATTATTAGCAAACATTTTGTCATTAAATGTGTTTATTATGTTATCCGAAATTTTTTAATTTAATTTGTCATGGGTGGGTAATATATTAGTTATTATATTTGAATTGAAATATAACGATATACAACTATAATATTATATATTTTGAAAATTATCTTATGTATTTCTAATTATTAAAATAATTAGATTAATATGGAATGATAAATAAAGATGGTCAGAGAGAAAATGAGAAATAATTATAAAGATGCCGTGATGGATAATAATGCTTTAACGCAGTATATATATAGATTGCAGCTACCGTTTTCTCTACCACTCTTCTCTTTCTCAGTTCATTGTTTTCCTTCTCATATCACTCTCTCGACCTATTCTTATTCCTTTTTATTCGTTTATGTAATATATATCTTTAATCAATGGAAGCCAAAGAAGATTATACCCAAGATGCCACCGTTGATTTCCGTGGCCAACCTGCACTTTCATCTCAAACTGGCAAATGGAAGGCTTGTGCTTTTCTTGTTGGTAAGAATTAATGAATACCAATCTCTATATATCATAATATTTACTGTTTTTCTTAGATCTGCACTGCTTTTTCATAACAATCTCCAACCTTTGAAGTTTTTTAATTCTCAGAAATGAACAAGGCAGACCCTTATTTGCATTGTTTTCCACTTAGTAGTACATTAATTGTTCTAAAACAGAACAGGTATTCACACTGTTTCTGTTGTGGAGTTATAGCATGAATCATGATATATGATCTCATTTAATTAGTTATATAAATATGGCATATATATAATATTGTTTCAGGGTATGAAGCATTTGAAAGGATGGCCTTCTATGGAGTGGCTTCCAACTTGGTGAATTACCTTACAACCCAACTTCATGAAGACACAGTTTCATCAGTGAGGAATGTGAATAACTGGTCAGGATCTGTGTGGATAACGCCAATTCTTGGAGCTTGCATAGCAGATTCTTACTTGGGTCGCTTCTGGACTTTCACTCTCTCATCTCTCATTTATGTCTTGGTAACCTCTTCTCTCTTTCTTTCAATTAATATATAAAATCAACACTCTACTTGTCTATATTTTCTCCATCATGATCCAATATTGCGTAAACATTCAGCATCTTTTATACTCCAAGCAAAAGAAATATTGTGAAAACTTATGAATATATATACCAATAATAGTGAAAATATTTGTTATGCTTTATTATATGTTTATTTTTGTTGATTCTTATAGTAAAGTTTAAAAATTAATCAACCAAAATCAAACTCCTCCCTCTTTTACTTTTAGTACCTCTCTGTGCTTACCTCATCCCAGCCAAAGTCTTCAACTCCATTATTTGCACTTGTGTGGGGCGATATATATATGACTGTTAACTGTGATAGATAGATCGTGCAAGACAATTATGTATGATTCATTTAGCCCCACCTATATGAAGCTATGGCCTCAACTCTCAACCTTGAATTTATTATGTAAATGTATATAATAAGGGGGATCGTTACATGATATTTTTTGTCTGATATTCTCTCATTTATAATTTTTTAATTCAATATTTAAAATAGGTAAAAATAATAGAGGTTTTATAAAAAAATATTATATATCAAACTCATTAAATATGAAGTGGGATCTCAACTTTGTTATTTTTAATAAATTTTATCTAATATTAGGAAGTGTGATAGAGAATGATATTAGGATTTGTCTAAAATTCACTTTGTTTATAAAAGTGGGATAAGAAATTATATTTTTGGCTGAATTGCCATGTGATTGGTGATGAAAGAATATGTCCCTTGGCAAATTATTCTAAATGGTGATCACTTTATTTTACCTCGGTTTTGTGGCATAATGGCGTTGTATCACGTCACATACATGTGCATGTGGTGTAGGTTAAACTTGAAACCATGTATCTCATCCCAAAAGACTGCACCAATTTTTTCTTTGTTTAGTTTATACATTTGTCTATACCTCATATAGTTATTAGTTTCACTTGGTCACAGGGTATGACTCTTCTCACGGTAGCAGTGTCACTGAAGAGCTTGAGGCCAACATGCACCAATGGCATCTGCAACAAGGCTTCAACCTCACAGATTGCATTTTTCTACACTGCCCTTTACACTATGGCAATTGGGGCAGGGGGAACAAAGCCTAACATATCAACCTTTGGTGCTGACCAGTTTGATGACTTCAACCCCAATGAGAAAGAGCTAAAGGCCTCATTCTTCAACTGGTGGATGTTCACCTCATTCTTGGGTGCTTTGATTGCCACATTGGGACTGGTTTACATTCAAGAGAACTTGGGGTGGGGACTTGGTTATGGTATCCCCACTGCTGGTCTCATGCTGTCTTTGGTGATATTCTACATAGGCACACCAATATATCGCCACAAAGTAAGAACAAGCAATTCTCCTGCTAGGGACCTAGTTCGTGTCCCCATTGCAGCATTCAGGAATAGAAAACTCCATCTCCCTGGTAACCCCTCGGATCTCTATGAGCACAACCTCCAACATTATGTTAACAGTGGGAAACGCCAAGTCTATCACACACCAACCCTGAGGTGAGCACTTGAAGTATCAGTTACAAAACAATACTTTAGTATTATTCATTCTCCATTACTCTTCTTTATCCACACATTACCCTCTACAATGAATGGAGACACTCAAGGTTAGTCCATATCTTGAGACAGAAATAAATTAAAACTACAGAAAAATTACATTTAATATAATAAGTAACGTGATATAACAAGAGTAAAAGGTGTCATACAGTGTTTATGCTTTTGGAATATGTAAGGACATATGAGTGATGTGGAAGCAAGTGTATATCTAATTCGAATATTATGAAATGTTTAATCACATAAAGTAATATAAAATATTCGACGAAATATTTAAGTATATATCTTTTTTTTTTTCTTAATAGATAGTTTTTGAGTGGAGTTCTCAAATGCATAATCGTTTATCAACTTTATTTGCAAAACAAACATGACTTTTAGAAAACAAAAAATTTGTATTTAACACCTAATGAGAGAGATAGAAAAAAAGAAGATATAATGATAAAAATAAAGAAAAATTACAAATGTTAATTGAGTGTTAAAAAAAGTTCAATGTTGAGAAAACCATTAAACATGAATTTTTTGTATATATTATATTTGTTTTGAAACTATTTCATATTTTTCTTTTATAGTAAAAGATGAGTTTCACTTTTGATTGTAAATTTAAAAGCATGTTGGGACAGAGTGTGAAAAGAAAAAACTGACATCAAAATGACATAGGTAATACAATCAGAGGTTGAAACGTATGATAAAGAAAGAAAAAGGAGATTGGAAAAAATATTTATATAAAAATCAATGATCAAAAGGGACAGGGTGGGGGCAGTGTTTTAATAATTTTCATTACTTAAATATGGAAAATTTTGACACCATGATTATTATTAATTTTTGTTTCATATATACACATTTGAAAAAAAAAATATAATCGTCAAAACTAAATGACAAATCATGATGTTTCGTTTTCGTGGTCAGAGAACATTTTGCATGTTTCAAAGATTTAATAACTTTTTTTGTAACCACTTAACAGTTCTTATAATAATAAAAATAGGAGGAATATTAAGTGGTTATATGTATAAAAAAATTGTTGAAAGAATAATAATTCTGAAGTATTCTTGTTCGTTAATTGCACGTAAGTGGTAGGAGAGTGATTGGGCCTGCACGGGCATAGTGGGTACAACACAGTAAAACTTGGAAGCATCTAGGAAAGGCATTTTCGACCGTTGCCCAACTCATCAATTTGACAGAGAATCTAGCAAATGGGCCATGTCTAGAGGTTCCATGTTCCCCATTTTTATCTCTTGGCTCTGAGGCAGTCAAAGTCAAAGGGAGTCTCATTCATCCATTACAATTTTTGTGCTTAACCAGGAAACCCACTATTTGAGGCAAAAGAATGAGGCATTCGGGGCCTACTATGTCATTCATTTCATTCAATTCCTTCCATGTGCACACTTCACACTATCTTTTTTGAGGCCTTATTTCATGATTAGTCCCTGTTTTTGAGCCAAGTTGTGACCACTATTGCAAATTCCTACAAGCAATAACTATCACATTGCATGCAAAACACGGTATAGTCCCCCATTTGCATTCTTGGTGCATAGAGAGACACATAGGACAGATTCATTAGCAGACGATTGGAACATTCCACTGTCACACAATGACAAATATTTTTTACTTACACAAATTTTGTTAGAAACTGAAAACTTGTGTGTTCAGGTTTTTGGACAAGGCTGCTATCAAAGAAGACGGTGCTGATCCCACCAGAGTACCATTGACAGTAACCCAAGTGGAAGGATCGAAACTTATTTTTGGTATGGCCCTTGTATGGCTGGTGACGCTGATTCCCAGCACTATTTGGGCCCAAATCAACACTCTTTTTGTGAAACAAGGAACCACTTTGGACAGAAACCTCGGATACCATTTCAAAATTCCATCAGCCTCCCTTGGAAGCTTTGTGACACTCTCCATGCTTCTCTCAGTGCCAATGTATGACCGGTTTTTCGTGCCGTTTATGCGCCAGAAAACTGGCCACCCTAGAGGAATCACATTGCTTCAAAGGCTTGGGATTGGATTTTCAATCCAGATCATAGCCATTGCGATTGCTTATGCAGTAGAGGTTAGAAGAATGCATGTCATAAGAGAAAACCACGTGGCTAGTCCTAAAGATATAGTCCCCATGAGTATATTTTGGCTGATGCCTCAGTATGTATTAATAGGGATAGCAGATGTGTTTAATGCCATTGGATTGCTAGAATTCTTCTATGATCAATCCCCCGAAGACATGCAGAGTCTTGGAACTACATTCTTCACAAGTGGGATCGGTGTTGGGAACTTCTTGAACAGCTTTTTGGTGACAATGGTTGATAAAATAACAGGAAGAGGCGACAAAAAGAGCTGGATAGGGGACAACTTGAATGATTGTCACTTGGACTACTATTATGGGTTCTTGTTGGTCATGTCAAGTGTCAATTTGGTGGTTTTTCTTTGGGTTTCAAGTAGATATATTTATAAGAGGGAATCAATAAGGGTCAAAGAGGGCCTTTGTGTTCAAATGGAGGGGAACCCAACTTTGGACGCCTCTCTCAGCTTACAAGTGTGAAAACTAACTATAAGTGTGGTAGGCCATGATAAATATCCTTAGCGTGATATTAAACCTAAATTTTCTTGATAGATTCTGCACCAAACTGATAAATGATTATTTTATTTGAATTTAATTGGCCCCACCTGCAAGGAAGTTGGAGCCAAATAAATTCAGATATACAAGTTTGTGTAGAATTTATGAATGTGCTATTTTGTAAAATATGTGTGCCATGCAAGTATATCTTTTTTCCTGCTTTTGGTAATGGAATTTCAAGTGAAAAAAATGCAATGTTTACATCTTTCTTTCTTTCTTTCTGAAGTTTCCTTTTTTTTTTTATATATATATATTCTGGCGCAATGTATCCATCAGGAAGAGCGCGTTGGATTTAAATTTTGACAGAACTACATTTGCTTTTCAGCATTATAATCCTAATCTTATGATGCCCGAAAATCGATCAATTCAAAACCACAAAAATTGAACTAAGAACAATATAAATATTATTTTAAGCCCTTATTATTATGGGATGAAATGTCCGCATTGACTGTTTGGTAACCAAAATAGTCATGACGAATGACACAACAATGAACAGCATAGCATCTTCACTAATACGAAAAATTTTGCACCAAGATCCATTGCTTAAATATGGCTGAAGGTGTAGGGTAAACTTCATTAGAGTTAGGTTGTTCCTAGAAAACTACTGATTAATAAATAGAGCTTCATAATGCTTGAGTTTCAGGCAAAATGTGATAAAGCTTAAACCTTAAAAAGCTACAGCCTAACTTGAAAAAAGGGATGCTAAAAATTACAGTGCACCTTGCACCTCTTGTAAAATATAGAGTTCATAGCTTTTAGCCGTTGATGAAAAATCATCAGTTAAGATTTTTTTTTTTTTTCTTTGTGAAATACAAGCAATTATATGGTTATGTGACATTATTTAATTATTTAATTTTTCTCGTTCCACACGTTATCCATACTCAAAAGAAATAAGTAATACAATAACATGAAGGACAAAAGTTTATTTCGTTTGATAGAAAGCAGAAGATTTACTGACCAAATTGTATGTATTTAAACTACAACTTTGTGTGCAATGACTTGTTAGCAAAATAGTTGAAGTTTCAACCATTGATAAGGACGGCAAAGTGATTTCACTATTAGTCATACATAACTAAGCAAAACCTTGAAGAATATATCAATATATTATGCATGACAGCAACGAACAACCTTGATCACAGAACAACCAAATAAGCTTCAGCAGAGCTTCATTTTTTATTTTTTCTTCTTTTATTCGCACTGTAAAGGAAATATGAGTTGTAGAGGGGCGGACCAATAAAAAAAATAAAATATATATATATATATATATATATATATATATATATATATATATATATATATTACACCTCGTTTTATTAAAATTATTACTAATTATTTGAAATTTTTTTATTTTACACCTCCTAAATATTATATATTTGAATTATTGACCTCTCTTCCATGAAAAATTTAAATAAATTGAAAATGTATAAATACACCGCTTAGACTTAGTAAATTGTCTCAATAAGTTAGGTCTTCCATCAGATCCACCGTTGGGTTGTAGGTATGGGCTTTCTCACAGTAATCACATACTGAACAATCATAACCTTTGGAAACCATTACAGATTTTAAGTTCGAATTTACACATTGGCATGAGAACAAAAAACTATATCTAGCAAGGATATGATGTAATGGCATCTCACAAATAAGCAGCCATTCTCAACCAAAACCATGTTCAGAAAAAAGTACGAATATCAACAGTTCAATTGCCATGGTAACTTTGTCATAACCGTAATTTATTCATAAGTTGAAAATTCAATGAATCTTTTAAGCAGTACAACTTTGACACTGCAGTTGTTGCTCATCTTGCCAAACACCAACAATATCTTTGAGAGCTGGTCTTAAATCTTCCTTCAATATCTTCTGGAATTCTAATGTATCGCCGCGGGATTTCATCTCAATCAAATGGAAAGACGGAGCCACTTCAAATATTTCAACATCAATGAAAAGTGGTTCTTTTCTACCTGCCCTGGGTCTCTCTAATTTCAGCAACCCTCCATCCTTCTTAATTATATCCATCCTCAAAATGCGAGCAATATCTTCCACTGTAGACATGATGGATGAGGCAGAGCTCATGAATGTAAATTTGATATCTTCCTGTTCACCAATGTTAGAAAAGAGACCAGACAAGTCTAGCCCAGCAGACAGAGAGATTATATCAAAAGCATTTAAATGTGTAGGTACAACCAATGCTTGATCTGCCTCAACAGAAGCAGCACTTGTATTCTCACACAAACCAAAAACTTGATCAGAATTAACTAATGCCACATTTGTAGACTCTCTTTTCACTTGACCAGATTTGGGTTTGAATCCTTTCCTGAACCATGAGCTTTCCATAACGTTTGCCATGGATATCCTGCTATCTGGGTTGGGGTCCAGGATTTTCGCTAACAGTCTGCGCACTTCAAATGAAAACCAGTTTGGACATCTGTATTCCCCCCTGCCTATTTTCCTATATAGTGACATAAGATTCAAATCATAGAATGGCAAATGACCAGCCAAAAGAACAAATAAGATCACTCCGCACGACCATACATCAGACTTTGCTCCATCATAGCCCTTTCTACATACAACCTCAGGAGCCACATATGCAGGAGTTCCACAAACTGTATGCAGCATGTTGTCTTGACGATGCGATTCAACAAACGCACTCAACCCAAAATCTGCTATCTTGAGAACACCATTCTCATCCAAAAGCAAGTTCTCTGGCTTCAAATCCCTGTGGTAAACACCCTTGCTGTGGCAAAAATCAACAGCACTGACCAATTGTTGAAAGTACTTCCTTGTCCTGTCCTCACTGAATCTACCTTTAGCCACCTTGTTGAAAAGTTCACCCCCTTTGGCATATTCTATGATGAAGTAAATCTTGGTCTTGGTGGCCAAGACCTCAAACAGCTGCAAAACATTGGGGTGTTTAATCCGTTTCATAATAGATATCTCTCGCTTCGTTTGATCCACCAGCCCAATTTTTAGAATTTTCTCCTTGTCAATCACCTTAACGGCAACACTGTCCCCAGTTTTGAGGTCCCTTGCATGGTAAACCTTAGCAAAGTTTCCTTGCCCTAATAGTTTCCCAAATTCATACTTCTGCATCAATACATTCCCTCTTTTCTCCATTTTCAAGCACAAACCCTCAAACACAAATTAAGCACCCCGGTTTTCTAAGCAAGGAACCTTTCTCTCTCTCTCTCTCAACGATCGGCCTAACTTTGAAAAAACACCAGCAGCAGAAATTCCAGCCTATACACTCTTTCACCTGAGTCCTTGAACCTCCTCAAGAAGCCACCAAAAAACGCACGTAACGTAACCAAAAAATGGCTTCAGAGAAAAGGCGCTCAATTCAAATGCTCTCCCTGAGAATGAGTAACAAAAACAGTAAAAAACACACACAGATGACGGTTCCAACGCAAACAATATACGAAGTAGAATTTAAACAGAAAGCAATCCACTGAAACAACATAGGATATCACATAAATCAAAACATGATGATTCACAACGTATTACTCAACCACATAATAGTCTGCAACAAAAAAAAAAGGCCCAACCAAAACGAGTCTTCTCACTTTCCCTCGTTCGATGAACCAAACAAAAGATAACAAAAAAATGAGGAGAATTCAGTTGAATTACGACATTGAGAAGCCTAAAAAGATGAGAGAAAGGTTGTGAAGAATAGAGTAAGAGAAGAGGAAGGCCTTACCGTTCGAAGGAAGGAGAGAGGATTGAAGAGATGGAACGTTAGAGAGGGAAAAGCATAATGGAATTGCAAAGAGCATGTAAAACTCAAGTATTTATATACCACTTTCTTCGCTTTCACTGCGTTGTCAAATCAAACACAATCCACAGTTCAGTTTGAGGTTATTCCACCTCATTTTTCACTGTCTTCTGCCAATTCTCATTCACCGTTCCTTATGATTTTTCCATTTGGTCCCCCACCCTCTTAATTCTATTCTTTTTCATACTTATTTTATTATTATTTTCATCCAGTACCTGTGCTAAGTACATATTTAAATTCAAAATTACTATTTCCATTCAAATAACTTTTTATCAATTAATTCCTGCTATTAATAATTTCCCAACATATTCTGATGTGTTATGTAATCACTCTTTCAATCTTCAGTATATATCAAACTCTAAGTTCTTAATAACTTATGTATTACTTCTGCTATTTTTCTTACATTGATTTTGCACTCACTTCTTCATATTTAATAACAAGTTCTTAATTTTTAATATCATTAGGTGTCCATTTTATTGTTTTTCTAAATCCACTATGTAATTTATTTTTGGATGTAGCCTAATTTATAGGACTAAATATTTTTTTCCCTTATTCCTCTCATCTTTACCTTATTCAATATATTTTTTGATAATATGATCTCTACTTCGACTATATTTAAAAATTATTCACTTGCATTACTTTCAAGTCACATTGTAATCTCAAACTTCATAAAATAAAGTATATAAAAGTAAACCAAACCACATCTGGATACACAAAATTAAAGTTAAAAATAACACATAACATGATGACTTATGAAAAAGAAATCAATTGATTTTAAGAGTGCTTTAAAAAACATTATTTTATATATAGCTTTATCTGTATTTTTATTTTTTTAACCTAAGAATTGAAGGTAGAAAAGAAACGCCTAGTTTTAAAATATAAACAATTTTTTATGATTATATCTGTATATGTTTCAGATATGATATGGTAGTTATATATAAACACGTACACTTCAGATATTGTTGTGAATGTGAACGTTGTCAAAATTTCAGTCTCTGATCGTAGGTATCATTAGTATTTTTGAGGGTTTGGTTTTGAATTTGCGCTGAAGTTTAAGGTAAAGTAGGACCACTGCTTACACGTATCTGATCTGGATTTGGTACCTTATCAGTTATCACGTTATTTAATTTATGGTATTATATTACATAATATCAGTTATCAAGTAACTTAAAGACCACGTATGTGTGTATTTCTCTTCAATGTTGGTAGCTTAAGTCTTTCATTTGTTTGCTTTTTCAATTAACAAAAACTCCAAGCCAACAAGTTTGCAGCCATGAAAAAAGTGCATCAACCTACCCAGTGTATGATCTTTTTTGGTAGACAATGTGCATCCAATGGAGTACTTCTCACACTTCAAAATTTTGAAGATCTCCAATTAATTTATCCTTTTCTTTCCTAATTCAAAGAAAAATATATCTCACTACCATATATGCATTATACTTAATGAAAATGGAATCATAATCTCCTTTGAGGAAAAAGGTACGAAAGATTGTTTACTGAAAATATCATTAACTAATATTGCATATATGAACATGCATAATAAATAATGAATTTATCAAACTCTACTTTCTTATTTTCTTGTCAATGTGAGGCCTTTTTCAGTTAATATATTTCGTTTTAAAGAAACAAATTTATATATATTGTTGGGATAAAGATATTTGATTAGCTAAATTATAGGTTTGTATAACGGTACAAAATATTGTATAATCGAACTTCCTATATTTAGTACTTGATTTGTTAGAGTAAAATACTATAAGATCATAGTATATATGTACAAAAATAATATGAATAAAAATTATAGAATGAATTCTATGTTTTTCAATTTGGTATCAGAGCTTATAACTTTTTTCTTTTTCTTTCAAAATCCTTGGAGATCTTAACTGGAGAGATGACAGAAAAACTAATTCTAATGGTTGTTCAATCTGAAGGTGTCTTCATCGCAGGCATCATCATAAATGAATCTAATTATGACGTATGACCACAACTAATGGAGATGCACATTGTAGAGAGGGAAAAATTGTCCTATATCCGTGGGAAGGTGAAGCCTCTAACAGAGAACGATGAGGGATATGAAAAATGGTATGCTGAAAACCAAAAAGTGAAAAGATGGCTATTGATGTCCATGAAGCCAGAAATTATGAAAAGGTATATTCGCTTACTCACTATCCTCGATATTTTGAATGTTTTGTCAAAGACATTTTATGATGGAAGCAGTGGCGGATCTTCATAGTAATTAAGGGGGGTCATGCCCCCCCCCCCCAAAGTTTTGTAACTTACTTGTATATTTATGATTTTGGCCCCTCCAATATTAAATATATCATAAAGAAAAAAATGAAGGAATAAATTAAATAAGAAAGATTAAAAATAATTTTATTATCCGACATTTCTATCTTCTCTCACTTTTTCATACTCTCTCATTAACGGTAATATTTTATTAGTATTTAATTGCTTCTCTAATTTCTAAATAATATATTAAATAAGAAAGGTTAAAAATACTTTTTCATCTTCTCTCACCTTTTCATAATCACTCACAAACGGTAATATTGATTGATTAATATTAAGTTATTTCTGTAGTTTGTACTTTCAAATTCATTGTTCGTCTCTCATCCTCCCTTCTCAGATTCCATTCTTGAAATTATATTAATTGATAAAGGTACTTTTTCTTCATATTTTCACTGTTTATTCTATTATTGTTTGTTATTTTGATTTTTGTTGAAGAACATTTGTTGTTTGAGAAAACCGTTTTTGTTTTTTATAAATTTTTATGATTCTACAATTAGAAAATTAATAATAGATTCATTTTTCTCTAGATATGAAGCATAAAAGAATAGATTCATTTTTTAAAAGTGATAAAAGAGATACTTGTAGAGATGAAAACCAAACAAATTCAACATCTTCTCCTGTTTCAAAGCATGATATTGATGATCCAATTATTCAATTAGAAGAACCCCTTTCTAAGATTCATAGAATTAAAACTAATGAATTTAATATTAATTCTTTGGAGCGTGACCCAGGAAAACGTCTTCAGATACATGAATATCCTTTGAATCAAAGAGATGAAATTAGAAGAGCTTATTTAAATTGGGGTCCATATCAAATACAACTTAAAAACTATCCTTTTTCTAAAGAGAAACATCCTAGGAGATTTCAATATGGTTGGTTTAAAATGTTTCCTTCTTGGTTAGAGTATTCTCGAACTAGTGATGGAGTTTATTGTTTGTCATGTTATCTATTTAGTATACTGTCAAATGGTCGTCCTGGGGCAGATGTGTTTATTAGACAAGGATTTAGATCATGGAAAAAGGTTAATTCAGTAAAGAATTATGCGTTTCTTAGTCATATTGGAGATAGTCCTTGTTCACCACATAACAATGCAATAAAAGCATGTACAGACTTATTGAATCAATCTAAGCACATTGACAACATTATAAATGTGCAAAATTCAGAAGAAGTTTGCAAAAATCGTTTACGGCTTAAAACTTCTATTGATACAATTCGTTGGTTAGCATTTCAAGCTTGTGCATTTAGAGGTCATGATGAAACTCCAAATTCAAGTAATAGAGGTAACTTTCTTGAGATGATTAAACTTTTACAATGATAAAGTAGCACAAGTTGTGTTAGAAAATGCTCCTTATAATTCAAAATATACTTCTCATCATATTCAAAAGGAAATTTTGCAATTTTTTTCTAGAAAAGTAAGAAATTATATTCGTGAAGAAATTGGTGACTCAAAATTTTGTATAATTGTTGATGAAGCTCGTGATGAATCTAGAAGAGAACAAATGGCTATTGTTTTGAGATTTGTAGATAAAATGGGTAATATTAAAGAGCGTTTTTTTGATATTGTGCATGTTAAGGATACTACAGCTGCTACTCTTAAAAGAGAATTATGTGTTGTTCTCTCTAGACATAATCTTGATGTTTCCAATATTCGTGGGCAAGGATATGATGGTGCTAGTAATATGAGAGGAGAATGGAATGGATTACAAGCATTATTTCTTCATGATAATCCTTATGCTTATTATGTACATTGTTTTGCTCATAGATTACAACTTGCTTTGGTTGCTGCTTCAAGAGAAGTTATTTCAGTTCATCAATTTTTTTCAAATTTGGCTTTTATTATAAATGTTGTTTATTCATCTAGTAAACGTCATGATGAATTACAAAGTGCAGAATTAGATGAAATAGAAAAATTGTTAGAACTTGGTGAACTTGAAACTGGTAAAGGAAAAAATCAAATTGGCACTTTAAAACAAGTTGGTGATACTCGTTGGAGTTCACATTTTCATTCCATTTGTAGTATGATGAAATTGTATAGTACATCTTGTTTAGTTCTCCAAAAAAT